GGTAAGGTTCAGGCCATCCTTACCAAGTAGATTAAAGCGAGGAATGTACAAGAAGCTTTTGGGCCAACCCGACAACAGTGTTAGGAAAGTCCCAAGAAGGAAAAAAGCCAATTACAATCAAAGGAAAAAATACATCAGGGAACGCTAATCAATCTGCTTCTTCATTGGGAAGCCGGCGTGATCATCTATCTAGAGAGGTAAGGTTTGAGATTTAGAGCTTGAATATCCTCGTCTGTGGCTATCTTCTGCACCTTTTTATTTGACCAGTACCAGTGCTGCACTAATTTTTGAATCTCTATGATAATTCCCATATTTGTGATGTTGCGTTCTTCATAAATGCTTCGGTTATAAGCCTTCCAGAGATTCCATATGATGCATCCAGGTAAGATGAGCTTGAGTAGACCTCTAATAGTGTGTTTGTTGTAATTCTCCCACCATTGAAGCATATAGTTGCTTAGGTCTGTGCCCTGAGACCAGTTAGGCTCCCCTACATAATCTGCAAAAGCCTTCCAAATTTGTTGAGAAAGGATACAAGTAAGTAGGATGTGTTGATCAGTCACTTCCTCTTTTGCGCAGAACGGGCATTTGTATAATTAGATTTATATTCCGAATATATTTGTCAAACTCACGAATCGAATACCCTTGATTCATATTCGTATTCGATAAGGATTCGAATATTTATTCAGATTCGTATTCAGATTTGAAAAAATCGAATATGAATCACCTTAAACGAATACGAATCACGAATCGAACAAAAAATATTCGATTCATTTAAATCCCTATATGGGAATGGGAAAATAGATTACGGTGTATTTTCTAACGGATGCATTGGAGAGATTTTAATTAAACAGTAAAGGCCATATCTTTTATTTTTTAGCATATACTCAATTTTAAACTCCTCGTTGGAGTTGCTCTTATAAGTCAAAAAAGTAAGTAGGTTTTACTTATTGTTTAGCTGATTTTTCTATTTCTCTGTATTGACTAGATTATTTATAAAATTATCCTTCACCTTTTATGAATATCCCAAATGACTTCTCTTTACTTGATTTTACTTCGAAAAAAAATATTTAACTTATATGCACCTTATAAGTAAAAAACAACTCATAAATAATAATTTAATAAATGCCAACATAGAAAAAATACTTCATTACCTATTTTGTTACTTATAAATAATTTTTAAGTCAGTATAGAGGCATAATGAAACACGTTATCAACTAACCTAGAAGTTAAAAACAACTTATAAGTAGTTTTACTACTTATTGTCGATAAGTAGATTTTAATTAATAAACTGTTTATTGAAGTATTTTGTGTAAAGTGGCTTAAATGAGAGATAAATTATTTAAGATACTCATAAATGTTTATGAAGAGTTTTCTAAATGCTTTGGTCAAAATAGAGAAATGAAAGAATGGCTTTAAAATAAATAGATAAGACTTATATATTTTTTGACTTATAAAAAACTTATAAATTAGTTTAGAAGTATAGTGAAAAACATTATCAACTAAATTATAGGTTAAAATAACTTATAAGCAATTTTGACTAGCTTAAAAGTAATAGAGAATAACCTATATGGTGTGCAACATTTCCAAGGTTGTTTTGATAAAAGGATCTTAAGAGAGGGGTCGTCGAATCTAAAAATTAATTTCAAAGACATCTACCAAAAAGAAATCTAAAAAGCATAAATTTGAACCTAAAAACTATATTAGAATGTACTATCTGTTCAAAAATTCTCAATCAATTAAAGTTCTGGAGATCAAGCACATGACCTCTCATTTATGAGAGCCATAGCGATACAAGGTCATTGGCCTAAAAACATTAGATTTATAAAAAAATAGGATATCTTATATTTTAATTTCCTAAATAAAAATATTGACATTGTGCAATGCCGCAACTTGAAATTATTTGTTAGCATTTTACATTGAGTTATGAACATGTTTACAATCTATTTGGGAGAGCTATAGTTATGCCGCTCGACTTTGGCCCAAGTGGAGCTAGGTTAAAGTAGCTTGGGACCCCTGAGACCAATAAAAGTCTTTTCAAGTAGATAAACAAGTACGTAGCTCAGCAGAGCCGAAGCAAGACTACAATAGCACTGGGAAATACCAGATCAACTTTAACTTCCCTTTAACTTAGCTAACAGTTTCACTGAAAATGAGTTTGAAGTCTCGAGGCTTCAAACTTTTATGTTTTAAATCTTTTTAACATACATTTTGCAAAAGTAAATTAATAAGAATTAATTAATTAATTAAATTCAAACAAAAATAATTCATTAAATAAAAAAATTATATTGATAATTTTTTTTAAATAATAACAACATAAATAAAAAGTTAAGAATTATATTATATTACCATGAAATTAATGATTATTTGAGTGACTAAAAATATGTTCAATCAAATCCGTCGTTAGTGCATTGTAAATCTCTTGGCTTCAAATTTCTTAGCGGTTTCTTCGTTTCTTTTCTTAGTCGATGTCTTCGTACGCAGGCACCTCCTCGTCCAAGTTGTAATGCCAAATTGCTAACCGGTTGTCCTCTATAATTATATTATGGAGAATAAGGGGCTGTTTGACAACTTCTGAATAGGTAAGTGTTGAACCAGTAAGAGGTCTGAACCATTAAGTGTTGAACGTGTAAGAGGTCTGAACCATTAAGAGCTAGTATATTGTTTAACTATTTAGAGGCAAATGTCTGATTAATTCAGATAAGAGGTCTTAACCATTCAGACTCTGTATAATACTTAACCATTCAGAGGCAAATATCTTAACCATTCAGACATCTGAACCATTAAGAGGCTGAAACAAACGGTCTGAACCATTAAGTGCTGAACCATTCAGACATCTGAACCATTAAGAGGCTGAAACAAACAGCCCCTAATACATGTGTACATAATACTCCTCATTTTCATTTGAGAATAACACTTGGACGGGCAATCTATAATGTGCCACTTACCCTTCGACACCCCGAAAGCTCGTTCGATATCTTTTTTTGCTGCCTCATTAGCTTTTTTGTAGGTCTTCCATTTTAGACGGATTGGTTCCGAGAGGCACTTGATAATTATGAAATAATCTGAATATATTCCATCAGCAAGATAATATCCACGCTTGTAAAACATCCATATAAGCTCAAAAGATGAGTCGAGTGTAGTCTCATTAACCCAATCGTCACATACGGGCAATTGATCTAGAACATTAATGTCGTTGTTTGAGCTCGCAACACAAAAAAGCTTACCAAAATTACAAGTCATTTGAAGCCATAACTTAGAGCACACTAGTAGGCTTAATATGATCACCCCCGAAGAACTGACCATGCCACGCAGGGGGACAATTTTTCCACTTTCAATGCGTGCAGTTGATGCTCCCAAACATGCGCACAAAGCCGTGTTTACCGGCATGCCTTGCCTTTAACTGCTCAATGTCGCTCGCCGTTGGCTTACGTAAATACCTCTTATGATAAAGTCGAATAATTACTTTTTGAAAATTTATAAACACATGACCTGTTGCTTTGAGCCGACACCTTCAAGTATGCATCGAACATATCACTTGTCGTCGTGTACGCCATATGACGAAGCGCGGCGGTGCACTTTTGGACGCTGCTAAAACGGTGCCGGTCTCTCGCATCAGATTGTTGAGTGAATCAAGACACCTTGCGTTCAATATCGTTGAGTAGGGGTGTTCAAAAATATCCAATTCGAAATATTTGTCCACGATCCGGACAGATCCGATCCGAAAAATAGATATCCAATCCGATATTTTAGCTTTCAAATATTTCGGATCAGATACCCGAGAAAAATCGGATCGGATATGAATTCAAATTCTGGTAATTTTTGGATAATCAGATATCCAATTTTTTTGGCTATATGTTTAATGGATATATATATTATGGCTATATGTTTAATGCAATTTTATGTTAATTTTGGAACATAAGCATTTTGGACTTTTTGCATTAGCATTTTGGAACTTTTTGTTTTAGTAGTGTTTTTTTGGTTTGTTTAGGCCAAAGTGCCAACGTTAACTTTTCGGATAATCCAATGACCCGATCCGAAAATTTGGATATCTGAATATTTTCGAATCGGATATGGAATGAGTTTTACATGATCCGAAATTTTCGGATATCCGATTGAACACCTCTATTGATGAGTAGCGTAAAACAAAAAACGACTCATTTGAAAATGATTACTAAAATCCCCCGGTGGGTAAACACACGGAGTATTAAAGTAGTCATTGAGTAGTTCTTTGTGTCTAGCCGCCTAATAACTATGTAAACGCTCACGTCGGGTCGAGCACTAGGACAATTCCATTTCCTCTTGTTGTGCTTTTTGCCACCATTGCTAATAGCCCGTCACGAAGCAACGAAAAATAAGAGCTCTTATTTCATCGTCAAATGAAGACTATTCCATTTTTTTGGTTTTTATAAAGAGATTTAAAAGAAATAGAATATTTTTTTTGATGAATTATAGAGAGAATGAGAATATGTTGTGTGTATAAATTTTTGGAAAAATAAGGGGGTATTTATAGTTGAAAATTAATTTTTTCTTTTCCCAACAATCAGAATTTGGAGTGTCGGGGAGAGGGGGTCGAAGGTGGGCAATGGCTGAAACAGCTCTTCATCGCGTTAAACGTTTGACGCATTGCGCATGACGCCCCAATAACGAGGCATGAGGCGGTGTTTAATGCCCTAACGACGTTAAACACCAGATGAAGCCCAACGTTACTAGTATTTCTGATGCCCTAAGCCTATTCTCTTCAATTTATTCTTATTACTAATTACTTAATGTTATTAGAATCAGCTCCGTTCAAATCAAATCAGATCAATTTTTTTAAAATAGCTACATTCAGATCAGATTAAACTAGATCTAATCAATCGGATCAGAACCATTCAAATCAAGTGAAGAGAACAAGCCCTACATGGATCTAGGGAGATTTTTAAGAACACTTGAGAGACAAATGAGCAGCACTGTGTTGTATGTTCAAGAAGAAAGCTATGTGTTGATGGTTGAAAAAGGAAACCGTTCACCCAAATTGATTAACACGCCAAACAATAGAAAGGGACAAGCACGACAAACAAAAGAGGTTCCTATGAACATATTTATCCGATTCCATAATCGAACATCATATGGACCCCTTGCCTCAGTAAATGATAAAAACAAACACAAACAATACCCTTGAAACGAGAGGCTGGAGTGTTCTACCAAGCTAAGAACAAGTAAACTTCAGATGATGATTAGACTTCAGCACTCCCTATCACTATGTTTGGTTCGTGGAATTAGAAAGAAACAGAAAAGAAAGACGTTTTTTCACTTTTTCCACACCAAAATGGAAGGGAAATCATTTTCCATTTCTTCTCCCATTTTCTTTTCCTTCCACTTATCTTTCTTTTTCCTCTCTAAACAAACAAAAAAAGTTGTTTTCTCTCTCATTTTCTTATCTTTTCCCTTTCAAATTCTTTGAACCAAGCATAGTATAAATGAAATCAGTTTCTTCTTAGCTATTATTCCTCGAACTCGCGCCAAAACTTGACCATCTCCTCAATGTGCAAGCAACTAAGTTTCGCCCCGTCAGAAATCCCAGCCTCGCCCTGAAGGAGCTTGATCTCCTGGTGATGTTTGGACCCGCTTGTCGGTTTTCTTGACCGGCTTCGGACACCCCATCGTCACTAGCAACAGCCTCCTGATTATCAATCACAACAGTACTGTCCAAATTCACAGCAAGCGAACCCCGATACACTCTCAACCACTCTGCGACTTCAGAAGTTACCAGCCTGCATTTCTTAACCTTCACCTTAACCAGATTTGGACACCCGTTGGCAAGTGATTCCATTCCCAGGTTTGACACCGGACAACTCTTTATGCAAAGCTTCTTCAATGCAGTGCATTTTGCAGCGATGCAGGAGAGCTCCAGGTCACCCACGGTCTCGCTTCCACAAAGAGCTAATCTTTCTAAATTTAGACAGTTTGAAGCAAGTTTCTCTAAGCTAATTAGAGTCGGATTGACACCAATCAAAACTAGTTCTTGTAAAGTAAGACAGTGGTTTGCCACAGCCAGCAATCCCTCGTCGCTTATCCTGTTTGTTTTCCACCCATCAATGTGGAGTTTACGGAGAAGTTTACAGTGTTGGGCAACATTTTTTAACCCGGTGTTAGTGCATTCTGGAGTTTTCACAATGTGCAAGATTTCAAGATTTGAACAATTCGAAATCGCAGCCAGACCAGCATCACTAACCTGAAGCCTCTCCACATGAACCTCTACAAGCCCACTGACCTGATCGGAAATGGATCCCAGGAGATTATCCCAATCGCCAGAGCACCTTAAGAGCTTAAGAGTCTTCAGATTCTTCGATCCAATCATTAAGGGTCCGAAACATTGTCCGTTGTATAGCTCCTTCAAACAAATAACTCTGAGTGATGCGGCTGCAGCCCCAGGGCCGATTGGATCAGCCATAGATCCGTTAGCAATTCCGCGGAGGCGTTTCACTGATAGTTCCTCAAGAGAGGAGCAGTAATTGAGGATGGCGTTCATGCCTTTAGCTCCGAAGGTGCAGGATCCACAGGAAAGCTTCTTTAGAGAGATGCAGTTCTTCGCGAAAACTTGGATCCCCGCATCCGTGAGGTCCCGGCAACACCGCAGCTTTAACCTAGTGAGATTGGGGCACCGAAGCGAGATGAGAATCAATGCATCGTCTCCGATACTCACAGATCTGCGGTCGCATTTCAAAGCCAGCTTCGTTACCGAATCAAATCTCGAAAAAAGGGAAGGAACCGCTGGGGTGAGCTCCGCCTGAGCGTGGAGAGACAGGCGGTGCCGGCTCTGGCCTTCGACCGTGAACCACCGACGGCAAACGAGGGAGACACGTTTACGATCGGCGGAGCTTAGAGATTGGAAAATGCAAGCTAAGCACTCATCGGGAATGTTGGATGAGTAGTCGGGGAAGTATCCGGAGACGGCGTCATCGGATTGGTCAGCGCCGTGCATCGGAGCAACCAAAGCAGTAGAACCGGACTCTGACCGGTGGGTTTGATTTCGAGCTCCGGCAGCTGTGGAAGCTAATTGGCCCATCCACGGCGACCATAAGAAGATCTATTGACGGGCTTTATCTTCCCCAATTTGCTTTTGAGGACAAGAAAAAAAGTAAAAACTTTAACGGCTCAATCATTTATTCAGGAAAAAAAAAGAACAACCGGAAAAGAAAAGTGAAAAAGTGTTCTACACTACGGAGTATGACTTCTGTTACTGTTAGCACCCTCTATTCAAAACCAACCAACAATGGCTGCTTCGTCGCTTTTAATCATTACTTCTTCTTCTTCCTTGTGCTCCTTAGAAGTCCACCGTGCCGCGGCCTCCACTACCCGCAACAGCAGCCCTGCACAGCCGTCTCAGTTAGCATTGCTCTGTCGCCGCTTTTGGCAAAGAACTCCTTTAGACTGTACGTTTGGTTTAAAAAACTTGAAAGGGAAAATAAACCAAAGTCAAAGTGAAAAGAGGAATGTTAGGGGTACCCTATTTTGTACACCATACATCCTAGCTCTTCATTTTTTTTTTCTCTCTCTTGCTTTGTGTGGTGGAGATGGAGGGGTACAAATGGAGTACCCCAAATGGTGTACCCCTAACATTTTTGAAGTGAAAAAGAGAGTAGAAGAGATGAATTAAAGAAAAGGAAAACAGTTTTATTTCCATTTTTGTGAGGAAAAAAGAAGAGAAAACTCATTTCTTTAATAAATCACCATTTAAATGAGATTAAACATATAAAAATATCAAAATAGGAATTTACACTGTGATAATGTGGTATTTTAAATGAATATTTCACAATACTTTTTAGTAATATATGTGATCATGATTGACACGGTAAATATATTTTAAGTCCTATTTTAAAAAAATATGGAACTCCTATTTTGTTATATTTATAATATTTTACTCTCACTTAAGTATTTTTCTCCATTTCTTTTAAGATTCCCTCAAATCCTTTTGTTTTTTATTTCTCACAAACCAAACAACATAAATTTATCCATTTCTTTCCAACTTCCTTCCTCCCTCCCTCTTCACTTTGGGTTCTTTTGCAAAATGCCCTAAAAAGGGATTTCTTTTATCATTCTACCCTAAAACGCTTTGTATTTGTTAGCCTACTCTTTGTTTCAAAGTGAAACAACTCTCTTATCCTTCTTTTCCTAGCTATTATTGTCAGGTTATTGTTCCCGGACCTTTGCAGTGACAGGAGCATTTCTACCCTAGCAAATATATTTGTTATTCTCGTTACGGTAGTGCACCATTTTTCATCGTTTTCTAATCCAAATGTTGTTAGCCTTGGTTTGCTAAGCCTCATGTTTTGATGTTAACAAACAATATAAGAGCTTAACGTTTGTTTAAGTGTTTCAGGAAAAACAAGAATCCATTAAGATTCGGTACTCAAGAATGAAGTCGAAACACTAAACTAACGTAGAATATAGGTAGAAACCAATGTGAGGGTATGACTTTATATACCTATATTCACAAGCTCAAAAGCACTCACAAAATATGTTTAAAACCATCCCATAAACATCTAAAAGGTTTTGGAAAAATCATATCAGAGCCACAGTACCACTCTACCGTGTAACGGTACCTAGGTACTGACGGTAGGCAGGAACGGTTGGCCTAACCCGTCCTAACCAGGTACCGCCAGAGCCGAACCATCTTTTTGGCCTATACGGTACCGCCTAACGGTAGGCTGTACCGTGGTCACGGTACCTAGGTACCGGACGGTACTGACCCTACCGTGAAGGGTATCGTATCCGTTATCAGCACTATAGCAAATTGCCAATTTAAATTTAAATCAACCCTAATCACCTCCCAACGGCTAATTAACATCTTTCACTATAAATACAAGCCTAATCCTTCATATTTTTCAAGAAACAAAGCTCTAAACATCTTCTCTTTATATTCTAAGTGTGTTCATTCCTTAATTAATTATTTTCAATATTTTGGCTATTTTAAGAGCCTTAAATTCCTGATTTTTATACATACACTTTGAGCTTGTGTTTCTAGTTATATACTCCCATATTCATAAGTTTGAGTTGTATTTTTGAGAGAGTATACTTTCCTTCTACACCGGCTAAGTTTTGTTTTTCATTTTAATATTCTAGCCGTTGTGTAGAATCTACTTTTGTGTTCTTCAAACACACCTTTTTACGGTCGAGAATAGCCGTTAAATTCTCACGTTGTAACAGTCAAGGATAGCCGTATAAATCCTTGGGTAAAGGTTCAAGGATAGCCTTTGAAATCCTTGGGGGAACGGTAGAAGATAGCCGTAAAATCTTCATTGTAAACGGTTCGAGATAGCCGTTGTGAAATCTCAGCTGAGTGAATCCTATTGGCAAGGGTTGTTTGCCAAACTAGTGCGGTGCTTTGACGGAGTTCAAGAGACCGAGACTTAGTGGATTCGGAAATCCTTGAGGAGGAGCCTCGAGGTACTGGAGTAGGGAGTTCTCGAACCAGTATAAATTCGGTGTGCATTTTATTTACGCTTTTATTTTT